TAATAGGCATTTTTTAAAGAGCTGTGTTTAACCCCTGGCTAGTATTCTAGTTGTCATCATTGTGACTGTTTCTGAGTTTTCTTATCTCCACACAACATCAACCTTTCCTGATAAGAATTTATTTTTTCTGTTTTTATCTACTACTTTTTTTTTTTTCCGAGACAGGTTCTCACACTATCACCAGAGCTGGAGTGCAGTGGTGCGATCAAGGCTTACCACAGCCTCAAATTCCTAGGCTCAGGTGATCCTCCCACCTCAGCCTCCCAAGTAGCTGAGACTGCGGGCATGCACCACCATGTCTGGCTAATTTTTGCAGTTTTTTGTAGAGACAGGGTTTTGCCATGTTGCCCAGGCTGGTCTCGAACTCCTGGGCTCGAGTGATCTGCCTTGTCCTCCCAAAGTGTTGGGATTACAGGCATGAGCCACTGTACCTGGCATTGTTTCCCCAGAGAGAGACTGGACTAAGTCGAGTTTAAAGAAATGAAGGAAATGGTTTAAGTTTGATAGACTATTGAAAGGGCATAGAAACTTTTAAATAGGAAAGTCTAGTCCAAGAATATTAAGTTTATGTTTCAAGTTACTGTAAGTGATGAAAAGGGAGCCAGGAAGAAGGCCTCAGGACAAGATTGAGGCCCTAGAGCAATCTTGGAGAGTGACTGTTATGATGTTTTATTTTTATTTCTGCTTTTCAGAATGGGTTTTGTTTTGAAAACTATAAATTTTGTTTTACAGTATGCACTGAAAAAACCGTATGGTGTACTGTATAAAAAGTAAGTCATGGATTTCTTTTACTGTATTTTAAATGATTTTGTTTCGTTATAAAAGTAACCACTTTATGGAAGATTTGGAAAACAAAAAAATTTTTTAAAGATACTAAAATTCCTTACAGTTTTTAATATTATAATTTCTTTCTTTTGTTCTGTTTTTTCATTTGTATTGAATGTCCTTGCATAGTTGTGACCATAGCATATGTATTTTATTTTGAAATACTTATAGATTTACAGAAAAGTGCAAAAATAATGCGGAATTCCCATATAACCTTCACCTGGCTTCCCCTAATGTTACATCTTGCATAACCATAATGCAGTGATCAAAACTAACAGATTAACACTGATTCACTAATGTTAACCAAATGACAGACATATTTGATTAGCATCAATTTTTCTTTTTTCCTTTTTTTGAGACGGAGTCCTGTTGTCGCCCAACTGGAGTGCAGTGGCGTGATCTCTGCTCACTACAACTTCCACTCTTCTGCCTTGGCCTCCCATGTAGCTGGCATTATAGGCACATGCCACCATGCCTGGCTAATTTTTTTGTGGTTTTTTTGTTTTGTTTTGTTTTGTTTGAGACGGAGTCTAGCTCTGTCGCCGGGCTGGAGTACAGTGGCACGATCTCAGCTTACTGCCACCTCCAATTCCCTGGTTCAAGTGATTCTCCTCCCGCAGCCTCCCGAATTGGGATTACAGGCACATGCCTTCACGCCCAGCTCATTTTTGT